TGCAGTTCACAAATAACCACAGGACATATCTTGATTTGCCCTCTTTGGTCATTTACATGCAAACACATGAATATGTGTACATATGTGTATGTACATGAACGTATGTATTCATTTATTCATTCATTCATTTGGTGAAATTTGTTTTGAACTCCTGGCAAATGCCAGGCACTGTTCTAGGTGCCAGGTGAGTTTACCTTCTAGAAGACACACATCCCCACAAACAATAAGATGTATTTGCATCCTGGCTGTTTCTCTTAATATCCATCATGAGGATATTCCCGTGCTATCTTACATGCTCTAAAAGTTTCATTTTTCATTCCATAGAATATTTCATCCTATGACTATATCGTGAGTATTTCACCATTGTCCTATTGGTGAACATGGTGATTGTGTCCAGCATTTGACTATAAACGCAATTTTAAATGTTCCAAATGCACCACGCATGTGTCTCCGATATTTAAATGCATCCTTTAGGGAGGCACATAACCACCCAGGATTGCTCTAGCTCTGCGTGCTCACGAGCTCTCTGGACCACCTGGCCTGCTGCTTTTCTATCCTCACCTCCTCCCACTCTCCCGTTGCCTACACACCCCAGACACATGGTCCTCCGTCTCTCCCTCCAGACATGCCAGGCTTGTCCTCCCTGAAGGGCTTTTGCACTAACCATTTGTGCTGCCCAGAATGTTCCTCCTCCACAGTGTGGTTGGCTCCTCCTTGTCAATCGGAGCTCTTTATGAATGTCACTTCCTTAGGTTGCTCGTTCCTCAAAACCAACCCATGCAAAGAAGCCACTAGTCACTCTCTATGACAGTCTCTCCACTTTAGGTTTGCTATAAAACTTATGAATATTCAATTTTTATACTAATTCTTTTTTTTTTTTTTTTGAGACACAGTCTCACTCTTTTTGACCGGGCTAGAGTGAGTGCCGTGGCGTCAGCCTAGCTCACAGCAACCTCACACTCCTGGGCTCAAGCGATCCTACTGCCTCAGCCTCCCAGGTAGCTGGGACTACAGGCATGCGCCACCATGCCCGGCTAATTTTTTCTATATATTTTTAGTTGTCCGATTAATTTCTTTCTATTTTTAGTAGAGACGGGGTCTCGCTCTTGCTCAGGCTGGTTTCGAACTCCTGAGCTCAAACAATCCGCCCGCCTCGGCCTCCCAGAGTGTTAGGATTACAGCCGTGAGCCACTGCGCCCAGCCTATACTAATTCTTTTTGATTATCCTCCTCCAACGCTGAGGTGGGTAAGCCCCAGGAGGGCGAGAACCTTGGCTGTTTTTTTTTTGTTGCTGTGTCCCAGTGGGCAGGACAGTGCCTGGTTCTGAGTAAGCTTTTCAGAAGTATTTGTTGCATCAGTGAGTGAGGATTCTGAGGATTTTGAAGGGACATTGCTTTCAAATGAGTAACTGTAAAGACTTGTCTGAATAGAGGCTAAGTAATGTTATATGAGAGAGATCTGTAATAACTGATGTCCAAAAGTAAATTTTCCTGACACAACCCCATTATTTTTATAATAAAAACATTTATTTCCACTTTTTTTGTATGATAAAAGTTTTATATCCAGATTATTTAGACATTTGAGTAGATAAAAATAACGCATATCCCTATCGTTCTGGTTCCAACTGGGAATAACATCACATGAAAACGTTCCACCGTTTTGACGTATTATTGTGATTGGAGATCGTGTCTGGGACTCACATCGATGGGTCGCCTTTTCCTGGCAGACTCTGGTGACGGCGACTGCCCAGCTGAGAAACAATCCGCCACTCTGTGGGTCGGAGGGAACTGTAAACACGATCTGCTCACAGTTCCTCGGTGTACCTACTGATGGGGAAAATGAGGCCAGGAGAGGTGAAGAGAAGTTCGCTGCCGCCCCAGAGCTGGCCAGTGGCGGAGCTGGAAGTGGTCCTGGGCTCTGCCTCATAGTTCAGGGAGCTGTCTGCCGCGGGCAGGCCTCCCATCCTCTTTAATGACGTGTCCCTCCAGTGGTTCACCCATGTCCTGAAATGAAGAGGAAAACTTACCCAAAAGCAAACACTGTGGGAACTGCACATTTTTGAGAAGAGTTGCCGGCTTAGATTTTGGTACCGAGGGCAGAGCAGGCCAACAGCAGCGCTGTGAAGACAGGTCAGGGCGTTCTCAGACACAGGGGCGAGTGCAGGGGAAGGCAGGGCCGCATGTTTCCGTAGGAACGTTCTAGGCCATTGAGATGTTCAGTGTTGCAGTTTGACACAAGTTGAAGGAGCCTTTACTACTGTTACTCCTTGGCTGAGACCCCAGCAAGTATTGCTTTGCTATTCCGATGTGTGACTGTCTTGGTAAAATATTTTCCATCTCTATAGCAGCAACCCATTCATTAGCAGTTTGGGGATTAGGGAGAACTATTCAGTCCTGATTTTCTCTGCTTGGGATACTTGTCCTTTTCAAGTTTCTGTTGTTGTCTCTCCTCACTTCTTTTATTTAAAAATTTATTTATTTATTTACTTTTAGTAGGTAATGCATCAAAGGCATACAAATGAGGTAAAAAGAATGGTATAATAAATCCCATCTACTTAGCTTCCCCATTATTGACTTTATTTTCTTAGCAAAGGTTCTTGCTGGAAAGTGCACAACTTTTAGAAGCGTGAGCAGCTTTTCTGTTAGGTACGGTAGACCAGGAAGGCACCCCAGTGCCCCAGCTGGGGAAGATGAGGTGGTAATCGAAAAACAGAACCAGAGCGGCTCTCGCTCCGTCATGACTGGGAGGTGGGGTATCCTTAGCGAGTTCAAGCAGTGCTTCTCAGCGTGCCATTCCAGCACCGGCATACTCGGCGGCACCCGGGGGCTCGTTAGGCATACAATTTTGGGAAGCCCACGCCAGGTCTTCTGAACCAGAAACTCTGCCGGTGGCCTGTAATCTGTGTTCTAAGAAGCCATCCTGGTGATCCTTGTGCGTGCAGCAATGTGAGATCCACTGTTTAGAGTGTGTTCTCCGGAGTCCCGCTGCCCAGGTTCTATCTCAGCTCCAGCACCGACAAGCTGTGTGACGTCGGGCAAGTTACTTAACTTCTCTTGCACTTCAGTTTCCTTTGCCAAATGAAGATAATGAAAGTACCTACCTGTTAGGACTACTGTGCGGATTAAATGAATTTCTTCCTGAAGGTATTTAGAATAGTGGCTCAGAAAAAATGCCAAGCGACTGTTAGCTGTTTTTATTACTAGTGTCAATTACGCCAAACACAGTTAGTTTTAATAACGACAATGAAATAATTTTTGAATAGTCATTATTCTTATAATCCGTAGAGTAAATGCAAACTCTCTACTTGGAGACAAATGTATTTTTTAAGAATTTAAAGTGTTTTACTTAGGTTAAATATTATATATGAATGTGAGTGCTGTATATCCATTTGAAAATTTTGCAAAGTAGTATATCTTTGAGCAATTTTAAAGCATAAATGAAATGATTCTCTCCTAGCTCTCCACGCTGCCTTTTAAAAAGTGGGCATTTAGGAATTGACGTCTAATATGTCATTTACCTGTAAGTCAGTGAATAAATAAGTAGGGAGGGCTCTCGTTTTCCTCCTCCTTCCTTCTTCTTTTTAAATTTCTGATGCAAAATGGTTTTTGTTATAATTAAATGGGAGACCCCAGCACATCTCTGACCACGTGATGGAGGTGGGGGCATGGGTTTCACCTGTGTCTCGGGCCCTGAAGAATTGCATTGGTTCCCCTGTTAAATCCCCTTCTCCCCTTGCCAGCTGCTTCCAGGCTACAGAGGAGGGGAAGTGGCCAGGAGGGAAGGCTGTGGATGCCTTTGGGGTGCTGCCCTTCAGCTCTTCCCCTGTGTGGCGTCCGCCCTCCATTCCAGGTGGAGTCTGTGGCCAGCATCAGTTTGGTTTCTCAATGCCTCTGTGGATGCCCTCAATCCACTCTGCAATCTTAACCCTGTGATAGTTCATAAGGAGTTCCTCAGATATTTGTAACCAGTTTCTGTTCAGGGGAGATACGTCATTGTTGGGGTCAAATACCCCAACCTGCCTTTCTCTAAAATATAACACAGTTTCAAAGGAGAAAGCAAGTACCTAAGAAGGAGAACGTGACGATGGCAGAGTGTTTCAACCACGGCAGTTTTGAGTTAAATAAAACTGGAATAGATGTTCAGTTATTTCTATTAAGCAAAAACACAGGCAGAAAAATTTAATATTTTATTTTTCTTACTGCCTGCCCCAGCTGAAAGGTAGATATGAAAACCTTAACTGCGTGAATAAGAAATATAGACTGCAAATTATTATCCAGAAGTTCAGCTTCTCTGATACGTTTCCATTCCTCTGTGTCCTGCATGTAGAAGCCAAGTGCAAATGCCTCGAAAGGGAGAGATCTAATTCTAGGCGTAGCTGTTAATTTGGTTTCCTAATTATTTAGTTTTAAATTGTGTAAGTGAGTAGCCGATGCATGTGAAACCCATTCTTGGAAATTGAAATGTACAAGCATCGTTATGTAGTGCTGCAAAATTTGCAGTAACCCGGAAAGATTATTTGGGTGTCTAATGAAGCTTCTGAAATAGTTTATAGGCAGTTATTACTCAGAGTACTGACTGAACAGGGTGAGCACACTGTATAAATTTGTGTAATTGCTTAACTAAGCAAATAGGTTTTTGTTGCTTCTAGGTAATAATTTTACTTAAAATGTAAACATTCCCGCATTTCCCCCTCCTTTCTGCCACACCCTGTTCCATTTCTGAAGCTTTGATATTCTCGTGCTTTTACTCTTGCTTTTCTTTGAAGTGGAAATACGGGCCCTGTGGAAAGAGCACAGCTGCTTTCCGTCGTGAAATGAACAGATGTTGCACTGAAGGTGGAGCGTGTGGGTTGCAGACCCGCACTTGCGGTGCCCACTCTGTAGCATGCACAGTCTTGCGCTTTGCGCCTTTGTACCCTTGTTTCTCAATGAAACATGAATTTTTTTGGCTGTTGTCGTTTCCTTTGTGAACACTCTTCCCTTTGCTTTTGCCCCGGTGAGGCTCAAAATGCCCAGCAGCTCCATGAACGAATCCAGTCGTCGAGCATGGACGCCAAGCTGGAAGCCCTGAAGGACTTGGCCAACCTCTCCCGGGATGTCACGTTCGCCCAGGAGTTTATAAACCTGGACGGCATCTCTCTCCTCACGCAGATGGTCGAAAGCGGCACTGAGTAAGCATCTTTTCATCCAGACTTCCAACATCTGTCCTGTTTGTTTCAGTGTTTTGAATATGGTTACATTCCTTATTCTTGCAATTGCTAGTTTTAAAGACCAGGAACTTGGCTAGACTCAGGAAAAAATGGTTTTTAAGTTAATGGCTAAGTAGTGTGGGTTTGTAATTTCAGTAGCTTTATACCCTCCACCCAGCAGCCAGCCAGTATCTGAGAGAAGGTAGGAATCTATCAGATATTATACCTGAAAATTTCAGATTTGTGAGAAAAGATATTAGATCACTATCTCTTGCCAACACTAAAATTATAATTCTACAAAATATTAATCCCTCACATCCCTTGCCTATCCCCAAGAAAAATTTTCCTCCCCTGACTCCATTAAAAAAACTAGAATGCCTACTTATGTTTTAAAGTATTAAACAAGCTCGAGATATCATCCCTCACATAATTTTTAAAAAATTAACACTTGAATGCTTAAATACATGTCATTGATTATTTACTAATCAATTAATTGATTAATAAATTAAATACAATAAACATCTCTTGAGTATTTACTGTATGCAAAGGAGTGGGGAGTGGGAGCATTTTTTAATGTGAGCCTTGCCTTTCAAAAACTGATGGAGACTATTTTATAGTCAGAGTTAAATTAAGTGTAATTCCTCCTGAGAGTTAGGAGTCTAGAGGGTGGACCTGTTAAATCTCAAAGAGCCTCACAGAGGAGGTGACAGTGGACTGGGCCTTGAGGACTTTGAGTTCCAGCATGGTGAGGAAGGGACCCGTGTTTCCAGCTGGGGAGCTCAGCGTCTCAGGGAGGACCATGATTCTCTGGCATGATTGGGAGCATAGGAGCGAGGTGGGCCTAGCTCTTATGTACGTGGAGAGACCACCCAACACCAGGGCAGAATGAACAGGGAGCTGCCCCTTCCCTGTGGTCAGGAGCTACCAGCATAGACCAGAAGAGCATATAATTTAGAGCATGTGGAATTGCTGAATCAGTTAATTACATGTTATTAATAATATAAATTAATAATGTGCAGAGTCAGGATATGTATTTAGTAGGAAAGAGTACATGTCATCGAGAATTGGGATTTAAACTTAGGTTGTTTAAATCTCTCCTCAGTACCTAGTGCTACAAAGAATGAGCTGATGCCTGTACATTTGGAGACCTCTCTGGGCCCCCTCCCTGCATCCCTCCCCACTCCTTCCTTCCTTCCTTCCTTCCTTCCTTCCTCCTCCTACATTTGGCATTATTTAGCCTCTGCAGTTGGTATTAGTGAAAGATTCTTTTTTTGGTCATTCAAAGACAGGATGTTCTTTAGACTTTGGAATTGGGGATCTTACCTCATAGATGAGTAGAGAAAATCTCCATACCTGAAGAAGAGGAAAAAAATCAAGCCAGAGAGGACTGCCGATCAGGCTTGGGTGATTGGAAAGAGTCAACTGTAGACAGGTTTATTTCTTCACGGATGACTGAAACTCTGCTCCTGAGAGTTTTGGAGTTCCTCAACTTGGCATGGGACAGGGAAATCCAACCCCTGGGTGTTATCAGAATCCGGGGTGGTTGTGGTAAATTGAAGTTGGAGCTTGAAATAGCTAGAAGGAAGTTGAATGAGTTTAGGGATCCTTGCCAAGGAGCTTGACAAAGGAAAAGAGAAGAGGGTTCTGCGTGTGAGGGAAGCTCCAGGCTGGAACGTGGTATGGAATGACTCAGGGCCCTAATCCTTGTTTTTGGTGAGCACTGGAGGAGGACGGGTTGTGGTTATAAACACTTTCAGACATAACCGTGGATTACTTCAGGTAGCTGCCAGACGCAGTAGGCCCAGGCTATGAGCCCACCACTGCTTTTAGTGGGACAGTGAGCCCTGGTAGGGGGGAGGGTCCTGCCTTGATGACATTTTCTAACATGTTAACTAAAAATGTGAAAATGTTGCCCTGTTTATTGATTTATCTAAGACCGAGCCATTGATGTATAGAGGGCGGTGTAGTAGAGCCAGTCAAAATGTCAGCTACTATTATTAGATGGTTCTGCCACAGGTAACTAGGTAGCAGGGGCTTAAGCTCTTGTATATTCTCAATGGTATTGTGTAAGTACTTCTGAAATTACCAGAATTGCAATCCTAATTATAATCGCAATTATAATTACTGTGGTATAGATGCCAAAGTCAGGATCCCTGTGATCCGCACCCCGTGTATGGGGCCGTGGCAGAGCTTTTTTGACAATGAAACTGCATGCTAGACACTTTAGTTTTTCAGTTCCTTATTGCACTAGTTTGCTAGAGCTGCCATTACAAATACCACAGACTGAGTGGCTTAAACAATGGAATTTTTCTTTTCCTCCCAGTTCTGGAAGCTGGAAGTTCAAGATCAAGGTGTTGGCAGGTTTGGTTTCTTCCAAGGTCTCTCCCTTGGCTGCCTTTTCCCTGTGTCCTCACGTGGCCTTTGCTGTGTACATGTGCATCCCTGGTGTCTCTTTTGGTGTCCAAATTTGCTCTTTTTAAGGACACCAGTCAGATTGGAGTAGAGCCCACACTAATGGCCTCATTTTAACTTAATTGCCCCTTTAAAGTCTCTGTTTCCAAATACAGTCCCATTCTGTGGTTTTACGGTTTATAGCTTCAACAAATGAATTTTGGGGGAGACACACTTCACCCCATAAACACTCATCAAAGGGACACTACCACTTTTGCTTTGAAAGAAAAAGAGTAAAAACTGATACTATGAATTTGCTGTGTCAACATTCCTAGTTTTTATCCGTGTATTGCCCTACTCTATAACTCATCTCCACCTATAGAGCAGCCTAAAAGATTGATCATCCTTAAGACACAGGGCTGGGGACAGCAGAGCTGAGTTACATTGCACATTGCACTTGTGCAGTCTGAGAGAATGGTAGTACTGAGGGTAGTTTATGTGAGTCAAAGCAAGTGAATGCCTTCTTTTAAAAAAGAGTATCATGCCAGTTAACATTTTAATTATAGTCATGGGCTGCATAATGGCATTTTGGTCAATGATGGACCACAAATACCATGGTGGTACCATTAAGATTCTAATGGAGCTTCTCTAAACAGGTGTACTATTTTTTCTTTTAAACTGTATTTTTACTGTACCTTTTCTATGTTTAGATGTGTTTAGATACACAAAAACTTAACCATTGTGTTACAGTTGCCTGCAGTATTCAGTACAGTGACACGCTGTACAGGTTTGTAGCATAGGAGCAACAGGTTGCTTACCTGTAGCCTGGGTGTGTAGTGGGCTATACCGTCTAGGTTTGTGTAAGTACATTCTGTAATGTTCACACAAGGACAAAATTGCCTAATGACACATTTCTCAGAACATCTCAGAATGTCTCCCCGTAGTTAAGTGATGCATGGCTGTGTTCATAATACAGCCACATTTCAGACAGATAAACAGAACTCAGGACCAGATTTTGGGTAAGTTCTCTTTTGCATTTGTCTCTTACACTTTCCCATCACACTGTTTTTGGGAAGGAAAGATGTCTCTCTGGGTCACTTTTGGTATCCGTCTCACTGTATCTAAGTTCAAAGTCATGCTACTTTCCGAGACGGAGGAAGGAGGGACCCGAGCTTCCTTCTGCTGGTCCTGCAACTCATGCTAAGAGGTGGCTTCTTTGATCCACAGCTGTTTTTCAGATCTTTTGCTCAGATTAAAAAGAAAAGAGAAAGACATTTTTCTTATGAGGAAACCTGGCTTCTCAGTTAAATTTATAGCAAGACTTTAATTAATTAACAGGAAACCTTTGGAATAGAAACTGCACAAATTAAATAGATCCTGCAATTTGGAAGGCATTTAGTCATGACTCCTGGGCAGACTTCCAGCTGGGGCAGGCGGAGGTTTCCTAGGCAGGACCTGTGGAAATTTTTAGTAAACACTGAAGAAATGTAGCTGGAATTTTTCTCCTCACTTTTAGTAATAATGAGATTCAGAGATGACTTGCCTGCTTGTCATTACCCAAGGCTGAACTTTTAAAAGGTCTCTCTCTCCAGCTGGTACCAGGAGGGGCCGTGGGGCAAAATCAGCAACAAAGGAGCAAGGTGGAAGTGTCATTTTGGCAAAGCACAGTGTTTAAAACCTGAATTTAATCTTTCTGTCTTGGTGGAATTTTGAAATTCAATTTCTAATTCTGCTCGAAACCTAAGTGTGGAAGGAAATAAAGTTGTAGGGAAACATGTTGCCCAACCTGAGCAAGACAAGGAATATTAAAGAATGGACAGTGTTTCCAAAAGACAACAAACAAACAAACATAAAAGATGGGTATCAACAGATTTCTCAGAAATTATATATTTTATTTTATTTGAAAGGAAAAAAATTGCACCTACAACTTTAAGTCCAGTGTAGGCAATAATACTGCCCTTTTTTTGGTTTTAATAAAGCACCATATTTTTTGCCTATCCCTCATGGACAGACAATTTACTTCTATATCCTTCCACTATTAAATAGACGTTCATCACTGGAGGAAGAAAAACAGGGAGAACATTTCCAAGAATGAAAGCGCAGGATACTTATAGTTTCCTTCCCACTTGGCAGGGTGACGGGAAAATCATGCTGTTGGAATATGAGTAAGCTGTAGCACCAGCCTGGACAGAAAAGTTGAGAGTGAAAACAGTTAAAGTCGTGAATTTACGAAGATCTGTAACAGTTTTTTTGAATTAACTTTCTTTTCTTAATGAAAATCATATTTATTGTTTAAAAAGTATGTAAATAAGCAGATGGAAGAATAAGAATCATGTGTAGTCTACCTTTCCACAGACCACCATTTTTAATATATTGGTGTATATTCTTTTTGTATATTCTTTTATTAGTAGATACATACATATGCACAGGCTTTATAAAAGCGGAATTATCATATTCATGTTTTTATAACCTGCTTTTTGTACCTAACAATATTTCCATGTCATTAAATATTATTCCTTGATCATTTTTGTTGCCTGCATATTATTTCATTTTAACAGCTTGTTGAAGTACAACTGATACACAATAAAACA